AAGAATACGAACATGTTCCTGCATGAGGCCCAATCATTGCAGAAAAAAAAGACGTCACTCACCCGACGTATTTGTCCACATCTGCTCTGGTTTAGCTCCACAGTTTTTATCAGTCAGATTCCTCCGTGCACAACGTCTGTTTCATCTCCATTCATGAGTTTTTCATGGTACGACTATTTTTATAAAACTCTACTTCCTGGTGTCGGCTCTGGGAGCTGTCGGGGGTTTTTTCCCCTCTTTTTTATTTATTTATTTTTTACCGAGTGCAGCAGCGCATATTAAGCACAAACAAACAAGCCATATTGTACATTTTTCACGGTTTGACTATATCTTATAAAACTGTGCTTTCTAGTCTGGGAGCAAGTCGTTCTTTTTTCTTAAACCCCACCGAGCGCAGCACAAACAAAGACGCTCACGAACTTTAGACCAATCACACATTACCGTCGACACGGGAGGRGGGTCAAAAGTTCTGCCGGTGGGGGTTGTGCCAAAAGAGGCTGTCGACACGACGCTGCGAAGCCCGGTGACGTAATTTTTGTCATTAAACTGTGACAACCCGTGCCGACGTCGGCAGTTCGGAGGGAGTATGTTTTCAGCTTTATTGCAAGTATGACTCCGCCCCCTGTAAGCAAAAGGTGTGAATCAGGGCCCCAATGATACAAAGAGGGAAAGAGAGACAAAAACAAAGGGACGTTGAACCCCCGCTTGCATTCACTACATACACATAACACGACACGAGTCAGGTGATGGGACACTTGACCCTCTATTAACAATAGAGTTAATCAAGCCTATTGTTAGGCAATGGTCCTCTTTTGCATGTGACTAACCTGTTTGTCCATGTGGAGGCAGTGCTTATAAGGCTGAGTTCACCTGAAACTCATCAGACTGAAGAAGTCTCTTGGAGGAGAGACGAAACGTTTCACTAAAGAAGAACCCGTCCAGAGGAACTACTTATTCTACTGATTTTTTTTCTACCTGGATTACTGAGATGCATCAGGACATAAAATGCTACATTKTTTGTGCCTGTTCTAGTTCAAGCTTCCTGTTAGTTCAGGTTCAATTTCTTGGTCATGTGCTTCTGCTTTATTCTGATAGTTACAAAATGTTTATATATCTCAAATGATAAACATTGTTATTATTGTTGCTGGTAGGTGCAATGTAAAGTGATCAGGGAATTTTGGAGCATGAAAAATATACATATTCTGTCCAACAGAAGTTTTTATTTTTTGTAATTTGCATGCATTTCCATGTTTTCTTTGTGTACAGTGCATCAGTACAGCAAAGCAATGCGTAAGCAGAAGAACTGTGTCACTTACTCTAGTTTGAGGACCAGCTGTGTGCTAGATAAACCAGCAAGTAAGCATATTGTTCATTACTGTGTGATAGATACACACTTCCAGCTAAAACACATGCTGCTGCAGTCTTTGGTTTCACAGGTAGTGCTGTTTTAAGTTTTATTTAAACACTATTGCTGATTTGATCTTCACTGTAGAAAACTGTCCCAGTACAGAGACAGGGTGTCCTGACCATCTGTCACCTTCTTTTACTGTCTGCAGAAAGCTTCCAGCGTCTTCTGAAGAAAAAATCAGCTTTCAGCATACAGAATTAATTTATTTATTTATGCAAAACAAACAATAATCTGCAGAATGCAATCGTATAGCATGTTCCCACATTTCTCTACTTCAATGAACAAACCACCAGCAGCAAAACTTTGCAACCCGGACTAATCAAAAGAAACACTACTTTTTTGCTGGCAAACAGAAATCACCAGCTGCAGTCAATCATGATCACCAACAAGACGTGTGTATTTGAGCCATCTGTGTATTTTGACCCCATTTTTTGGTTCATCAAAATAATACAAAAAGACTTGTCATATTTTACATCCTGAGATGTAAAAAACTCAACAGACTGAAGAAGTCTCTACGAGGAGAGACGAAATGTTTCACTAGAGAAGAACCAACACTGCAAAAAAAAAAGTTTTAAAATCTTATATCAACCAAAAAGTCTTTTTGATCTTGTTTTAAGACTGATTTACTAAACAAGAACTGATTGTGTAAGAATAATAATCTTGTTTTCAGAATGTGTAAGATTATTTGTCTTGTTAGTCTGAAAATTTGACTCAAATTAAGTCAAAATTTCTGATTTGTATTTTCTGTTGTATGAATACAAGATGTATTTATGTTTTTTTTTGTTTTGTTTTGTTTTGTTTTGTTTTG